TGACGACAACTCTGCGGATAGTTTCTTATTAGAGGTATTTATTCCAGTTTGATAAATCCAACAGTACCTGACTCAGGTAAACGTCCACATCCCCGCTTCACAATTCATCCCTCATTTCTGTTGGTTACACGATGATTACAAAATAGTGATTTCTCCCTGGTGTCACATTTTGAACACTCTAGGCATACAAACTTATATTTACTTTTTTTTATACACTGTCATTAAATCATTCATTCACTAATCCATCCAGCCCCCCCCCCCCCCCCCCTCACATGCACACTCAGAAACACTGTACAGAGTTCAGAGGCTGCTCGCCTTGGTTTTTTTGTTTTTTTTGTGTTTAAATCATGTTAGTCCTAAAGAAGCAGCTTAGTACCGTTGGTTGCTTTTATTTTTCAAGTGGATCTCTGACGGCTGTGAGATGTTTGTTCTCCTCAGAGGGCGGCGTGTGTTCAGAGGACCTCGGTCCTGGTTTTCAGGAACAAAACAAGAGATGAAGGAACAGTTTCAGAGAGAAACTAAAATAAAAAAGAAAGTAAAAAGAGACAAAAAAAAGAGGGGAAAAAAACCCCTCTCCCCTCTCTGCCTTGTTCTAGCTTGGTTTCACCTCTAAGTGTGGGAATATCTAAAGCAGAGCAGGGCTCAGCGGGCGGGTTCTGCTCCAGAGCGGCTCAAAGCGGAGACGTCTACAGCCAGAGCCAATACTGACGCCGGGCCCAGGACCAGACAAAGGTCCAGGTACAGGTCCAGGCCCTTAGGCCCCAGACCCCAGGTCCCAGGCCCTAGGCTCCAGGCCTCCAGGCCCCAGACCAAGGTCAAGGCCCACCTGGCCCAGGACCCCAGGTTCCAGGTCCAGGTCCCCAGGCTCCAGGCCCCAGGCATCCAGGTCCCAGACCCAGACCCAGACCCAGACCCAGACCCAGACCCAGGTCCCAGGTCCCAGGTCCCAGGTCCCAGGTCCAGGCCCCAGTCCCCAGGCCTCCAGGCCCAGGTCCAGGTCCAGACCCAGGCACAGACCCAGGCACAGACCCCAGGCCACAGGTCAAGGCCCACCTGGCCCAGGCCACAGACCCAGACCCAGGTCCCAGGCCCAGGGCCTCCAGGCCTCAGGCCCCAGGTCAAGGCCCACCAGGCCCAGACCCCATACCCCTGGTCCAGGTCCAGACCCAGACCCAGGCCCCCAGACTCAAGTTCTAGGTCAATGCCCGCCTGGCCCAGGCCCAGGTCCAGGTCTAGGTCCAGGTCCAGCCCCCCCCCCACCCCCCCAGGCCGCTGCTTTGGTCTCAGTCTGTGCTGTGGAGGCTTGCCCCCCCCTGTTGAGGGGAATCCAGTGTCTGACAGGAGTAAAGTGGCACGAACGCAGCTGCGGGGGGAAATCAGAAGCTGAAAAGTGCAAAGAGGCTAAGTTTTGGTCGCTAGTCGGAGGGGCAGCTACGTTTTTGGCTCGTGAGACGCGTCCCTGTGGAGCCGGGTGGGTTTGGGATGGGGGGGCGGAGCCTGGGGGGGTTGGGGGCGGAGCCAAGCGGCTCCTCCGGCGTCTACCGGCCGAAAATGTTCTCGTACTCCAGCAGGATGAGCTCCACGATCTGGTTCTGGTAGACCATGTGCACGGCCATGTTCCAGGTCTCGGTTTCGGGCCGCAGCAGCGTGGGGCCGAACACGATGGCCACACTCTGCGTGGTCATGCGGTTCTCCTCGCCGTGGTCGATCACTCTGAAACAGACACAGAGTAATTTCATTCATTTCAGTGTGTAACCATCTCATTTAATGTCACTTTCACTTCTATATATTTCACTTCTTGTATTAGTTTTGCTAAATTTTCTTTTAAGTTTACATTTCCATAAGTTAAGGTTAGTTTTAGAGTGCATTTTATATCCATCCATCCATTATCAATACCGCTTATTCCCTCATGGGGTTGCGGGGGGAACTGGAGCCTATCCCAGTGGTCAACGGGCGAGTATTATATCTTATACTGAATTTTGTAATTTATCCTTTTCTCTTTTTTGCCCTCTGTGTGCATCTTCTGTCCTGTTAAGCTGCTGGAACTCATCCCAAAGGATAAATAAAGCCAGGTCTAAGTCTGAGTCTGATTTAGAGTGAGGTCTTAAAGACGCGTTCTGGTCCTGGAGGACTCCCGATCTGCTTCTAATCAAGCAGAAAAGAAAGGATCCAACAGTTAATCTCTGAGTTCTGGCTATTAGCCGCTCTGATAGAAACATGAGAACGTCTGCTTTTGAGTGTTAAAATACTTTAGTTTAAAGGGACAGGGTTTGTCAGGAGGAGCGGCTGTAAAAAAGCCAGTTTTTCTTACTTTCGGAGGTGTTTGAAGAGAGCCTGCATGGTGTCGTGGCTGGGCCTGGGCAGCTGTCTGACCAGCTCTTTGATGGACTGCACCCGCTGCTTGTGGTCAGATATCTCTGCAGAAGAAGGAGAAACTAAACACATCAAAGCCTGCCTCCATCAGAGCTCCAGCCGCTTCAATCCGGCCCGAGCGCGCCCGGCTTCTTATCAGTGAGGGGAGGAAATGTGGGCGGGGGATGCTGGAAATGAGCCGGGGAGCTCTGAGGCTCCGTGTTCGGCCACGGAGGGCAGCCGGTGACAAGCGTTTGAAAGGGAAAGGATCGATTCCTGTCTGACTGCACCACAAAAAGGCCGCCGTTAAGTGAGCTCAGGCTAAAGGGGGGCTAAGGCTAACGGGGGGCTCAGGCTAACGGGGGGACTAAGGCTAAAGGGGACATAGGCTAAAAGGGGCTCAGACTAAAAGGGGCTCAGGCTAAAGGGAGGGTCTCTGTGTTGACGTACTGATGGCGCTGATGAAGTCGTGGAACAGAGCGTAGCTGAAGAGAGGCTCCGGCAGCTCTCTGAAGAACATCTTCAGAGCCCCAGTGGTCACGTGGATGTCCTCCCACTTCCCGTCCGCCAGGTTCACCCTCTCATCTGGACACAGACGCACAGGTTCAGACCGTCACAGCTTTTAAAGGCACGCCAAACAAACACAGGCTGAGGAGAGGGGCGCGGTCTCACCGTGATTGACGGCAAAGCGGAGCTTCTGGATAACGGCCAAGTTCCCGCTGACCCTGTACAGCCCGTCCACACACAGACCTGCCGGTGGGGGGGGGGGGGAGACAGATCTTTAGCCCTTGTTTCAACTCCACACACACACACACACAAGGACGAGCCACGCCTCGGCTGACGCTCACCACGTTATCAGGAGGCAATAAACCAAACCTTCCTTTATAAACAGTGCTGATTCAGCAAAAAAGAAACACCCACCGCTGCTCTCCACGTGGTCGATGCACATCCGGACGAAGCTGGGCACCGTGCCGCCCTCTCTCTGACACAGACTGGACAGACTGCAGCCGAACACCTGATCTGAGGACACAAACGCAGCTCTTCAGCTCCACAAACCCTCACCCCGCCACAACGGGCCTCCCAAAGGACCCCAGAGCTGCTTTTAGCTTCCTTTCAGCCCCTGAATCCGATTCTCCGTCACTTAGAGGTAAAACCAGGCCCCCCGGGACCCTGGAGGGACTCTGTTTTTCTGAGGGTTTGGGGGGTACCTTTGATGTATCCTTTGTCCCTGACGGCCTGCAGCGTGGGCCGGCGGGTGAGGAACTTCTTCAGCTTGTGTCGGGTCTTCTTGTTGTCCGAGTTGTCCAGGCTGGCGGCGGGCTTCATGGCTGCGGAGGAGAAACGGGACAGGACGGCGTTATCCACCGCCCGCCGCAGGGCGCCGCCGGACATGACTGCTCGCCGCTTTTGAGAACCGGCTCTCATGCGCTGCCGTTTTTATCGAGCTGTGAGTCACAGGCTCTCTCTGCACTTTGTGCTGTCATTTTAAGCCCCTCCTCTTTTCCCTATTTCCCCTCCCCGGCTGTGTTCGGATGGCGTTTAACTCCTCGCACAGACCTCGGTTCTTCTTGGAGTCTCTGTGTTCCTTCTCCTTGTCGTGTTTCTCCACGCCGGGCGACTCGGGCATGTCTTCCTCTATGGCCTCGTCGGAGTCCCAGGGCTGACGCACAAAAGCAAACACAGAGATGGGAGTGAGCCAAAGCCGGCTGTAAAAGCCTCAGCCGTCACCGTTTGTCCTCTCAGGAGGGCGAAACCGATCTTTACACAGAAAGCCCGCCACCCTCACAGCAAAAAAACACCATAAACCTGTAATGCACCACGCTTCAGATCGGATACACACAGTTTCTGAAATGTTCCGCGTCATTTAACAGTAAAAACTTTGCTAAAAAAACCTGTTGTACACAGTCAGACGGGCAGAGGAATACAGCACAATCGTTATGACTTATTGCATAGTAATAACTGATGTATTTTAAAAAGTAATTGATTTGTTCTTCATATTTTTGTTGAAAGGCCAAAAAACAGTTGAGACAACAACAAAAAAATTATCTTTATTTGATGTTGGGAGCGTGGCTGGAGTGTGTGGAGTGTGTGGAGGGTGTGAGAGTGGGGTCTCACGTGGGTGCTGATGGTGTCCTGCAGCGCTCTGAGCCACTCGTTGATGACGCTTTCGTTTTCGGACTGGATCAGCAGCTCGGTGCCCTGCCGGGTCTTCAGCTGCGGGCGACATCGTTAGCTGATTATCGGCCTCACAAACGGATTTTCAGACCTTTTATTCCATTTTCACATATAACCTTATTCAGTGGAAAGTGTCCCTCTGGTCTGAGGCTGAAACAGTTTTCTACTGTACAGATCTCTTGTTTAACCTGCCCTCTGTTGTACTTCATGCCAAAAAGATGTCTAAAATTTGGTCTTTAGAGTCGAAACGTCCAATCTAGAGTTTCTCTGGTTGCAAATGTCAGAGGAAAAGAAACTCAGAAAGCATTGGGTTCATTCTCAGACAGCTTTTCTGAGCAGTGAAAGACCTCATGAGGCTTTTCCGGCAAACCACTACGCCCCACACTGGACCCGGCTGTAACCTGTCCGTTACATATGTGTTCCCAACATTCCTCCATAACTGGCTGGTGTGTTTCTATTATCCACACTCAAAGGTCAGCAGTCAAAAGTCAACCGAAGGATTTGAAAAGTTTTTAAAAATAAAGACTACCAACAGATTAATGATTAAAAAAGAAAGCGAGAAAGAAAACAAAGTAAACAAATGTGATCTAATTTGAGCTCGTTCTCACCTCCAAAACGTGCTTCTTGCTGGACTTGTCTTTGGAGGCCCATTCCACCGATCCGCCCCTGACATCCACAGCGAACTCCGGCTTGGACTGACCGCCTCCAAACTGGAAGGAAAAGAGCCGAAAGAACCGAAAAGGCTGAATAAAAACTCCTATACTGACTGTGAATCACACAGCAGCAGCCTGAGGAGTGGCAGACCGGTGTATTACACTCAGATTATGGGCTCCTTTCAGAGCACAGACACTCGGGGAGACACAGCTTCTGTTTCTGATGACGTCATCACACAGTCGGTGTTTAACCCACAAATATTTTTCTTTCTCTCTCCAGATCACTCTGCTTCAACGGCTGGCTATCTGGCGGGTAATTACTATGAGAGCAGCAAACGGCTGTAAGCAAAGTCCTTTAGGATCGTAACCGGAGGGGAAAAGAGGCAGGTCAGATTATCTCTGAGTATAACCCTGTCATGATTAGATAATAAACTCAGTTACTGTTCTGAAGCACTGACCGAGCTCTACTGACCACATATCCGACCTATTTAATGAGTTGCAGAAGAAAAGCAGAAGAAAGAGGCAAACCTTTGCATCTGTATGTTAAAATCTCTTTTAAAAAAAACTCAAACAGGACAAATTTAGGAAAACTCAGATTTTTGCTGCTTCAAATCTAATGCATGAAACAGAATTAATTATTTCTTATCTTATTTATTTCTGCCCGAGTGGCGGTGTCTTCATTTCGGCGTATGAAGTGGTTCCACTCCCACAGGGAAAACATTTTAGTGGATGGTTTTGGCACTCACCCAGCTGGTCCCGCCTCCTTGTCCTTTAGCAAACAGCAGCGTTGATCCCTGGAGGACCGTCCAGGAGGAGGTCCAGTTCTTCCTGCACGATGCGGAGAATTATAGACATTTAAAATGCACTGGAAGGACAATCTTCTTTCTTTGTATTTAAGAGGATTGAGTATAAAACATCACAGAATGATGAGAAAAAGAGGCTCCAGAAATTTTTGATTTGAATAATTTAGGAAAGCTGGGATAGAAATAAACTATAATTATACTATAACACTTTAAAACTGCCACTCTGAATGTCTCCCATAAGGAAGGGGGGTTAATTTGTTTTGTCCCTGAGTAACTTTATCAATCACAGCATTAAACTAAAGAGGGCGCCTTGAAGCAGAGCGAAAACCAAACGGGCTCTGTTCTGCAGAGTGGGCTCCACTCACCGCACTCTCTTCCCATGCTCGGTGATCTTGGTCACGTTCAGGACCCCGCACTTTTCTGACGGCTGCAGGGGAAAACAAGAGAAAGTCCCATTATGCTTTTGTCTGTGACGCTAAACGCGCCTGACAGCAGCAGCTGGATCACGTGACAGAAAGATGGTGTCAAACCTCGATGAAGGAGAGAAATTCACCATGACTGAAACACAAACCCGTCGCATCCCGCCACCACAGCCCCAGAACCACTGACCCCAGTAAAGGAGATGATTTAAACTGTACTAAAAGGAGGCCTAAAAAAGTCTGATTCACAAAAAGGCACTTCAGGGTGATCGACACATTAAGAAATGGAAAAATGACCAATTTGCTTCAACAAAAGCTTTAAAAAAAAAAAAAAAACACGACACCAAGAGGGCTTTTTATTGATCGCTACACGTCCCATTTGCAGTTTTCCTCCACAGGATCGAGTAAATCTGCAGTTTAGCTGTTGACGTTACCATTTTCCTTGTAAACGTTTGGAATTAAGAGTCTTTTGAATCCCAGCACACAATCCAAATAACACCCAGGATTTCCAGACCTGTGTAGGAAGCCTGCAAAGAGCTACGACTCACAACCCTGGACGCCCCCCAGCGTGAGGTTAGTGGGGAGTACTAACAGAGGCGGGGGGCTTGGGAGACGAGGAGCAGGACTCAGAGTCGGGAGAGGGGGGCTTTGGGCTCAGGGGGGCTTCCTATTAAAAGAGACAAGGATGGGAGAGAAAGAACACAACACAAATACTGTCACAAGGGCCAACAAAAGAAGGTTAATGAGATGATGCAAGGTTAAGAAGACAGAGACGGCTGGAGGAGTGAGGGGGGGGTAATTAGCGGTGAGATTATGGAGCCTCAGAGGCTGTCGGGTACCTGCGTGTCATCCAGAAAAACACAAGTGGGTTCTTAATTAAGTCGTCAAGGCTTTTGAAGTGCTCACACAACATTCAAGCAGCTAAGAACTTTGTCACGTTTGTCATTTGTTAAAGGGAATCAGTCGGTGGATTTTGATTGAATGCTTTTCTCTTTTTTTCCCCAAATCAAGTGAAGAAGTTCATTAGCTCAGAATAAGAATGGGGGGTGGATTATTATCATGCAAGCTGATTGTGGGTTTGGATTGAGGACTCCTGGTGGTCTGACGGACTACTGACTTGGTGTTTGTACGGGTGCGGGCGGGCGGAGCCTGAGCGGAAGCGCCTGGTTTTTAACAGCCGCTGCAAAAAGAATCAGCCTACAACTGAGAACCTGGACCCGTCAAACACTACAGAACGGGTCTGAACTCGAGGGGAACACACAAAACTCCCGTGTTCTCAGACACGAGTCGGTTCGGGGTGAGCAGGTTTTGGGGGGGGGGGGCTGACCTTCTCGCTGGGCTCCTGCGTGTACGTGCTGTGTCTCCACTTCGTCAGGACGATGGGCTCCACGTTTTTCCTGTCCAGGCTGCGGCTCTTCTGAGCCTCTCCGGGAAGCTGAGGTGGGGAGAGGTTGTACTGCAAAGAGGACAAAAAAAGAAGAAAAAAGATCTGAATGTCTTTGTCTTAGCTGAACACTGCAAACACCGTCAGGCCCAAAAAGAAAAGGAGCGAACGTGTAACATCATGAGTGAGCTCCCTTCCATGGAGAGACTTTCTGATGAGGCTTGGGCCGACAGGAGATGGATCAACTGACAATTTTTTTTATTTAGAGCCAAAAAATTGACATTTTAGAGGATTTCAGATCCTAAAGAGTGATTTTTTCCTTGTCCTGAGAAGTATTCCTTCTTCTCTCTTAGTAAACAACATTTTTCATTCTTATAACAGATATAAGACTAATCTTTATTAAAAAATACAGTGCTTTACTGAATAATAACAAATGAAAGGCTGAGTCTCATGACCATGGGGCCTTATTTTGGGTTTATAATGATGGCTGACTCCTGGTCTTACCTTTGGTAGCTCCCATTCTGACCTGGAGCCATCAGCGCTGTAGTAATAAGGTCGTCCCTGGTCATCCACGTGTTTTAACCACTAGAGACAGACACAGCAGAGCCATCTTTTTCTGATTTGTGCACATCAGATAGTATTTTCAGACAGGAGGATATCTGGCCTATGTGTCACTTTTGTTTAAAAATAAATGTAATAAACGCCTTACTTAAACAGAGAGAATTAATGGAGGTATATTACAGAAAGTGAGAGAGCTAATAACTCTTCCAGGGGAGGCACAGTACTGCCAGGAAGCCCGTGAAGAAGAAATTCCCCGATAAATCAACCCACAGTTTCCCCCCCGTGCAGCCCCGGGAAAAGCCCCCCCGGCAGACGGGCGCCGTGCAGCCGGTACCTTCTCGTTAGTATAGTCGCTGACGTACAGCGTGTGGCCGTACTCATCCATCTCCTCTGACCAGCCACGAGGCGGGGAGCCATACTGGCTGTCTGACTGGCTAGAGTAGGTACTGAAGCAGGTGTCCTCCGAAGACAGAGGCTGGAGTCGGCCGATGGAGAGCGACAGGAAGGGGAGGAAAGACGGCGAGAGCGAAAGAGGAGTGGTCTGACATTAGTGGGGAGAAAAGGAGAGAAAAAACAGAAGGCACATTTCACCATGGAGAGAGGAAAGTCGTGCACCCACCACCAACCCGTCACCAGAAACCCCCCACCACCAGCAGAGACCCAGAGCAGCCTCCAGGGACAGAGGGCTGGAAACCTGAGGGGGACCGGGAACAGGCCGCAGTGCTGCTCACGGCCTGTAGGGGGCAGTGTGGTGCAGCCTTTTGGAGGAAACAGGACACACACACCCCCACACACACACACACAGAGCTCCGTGTGGTGCAGCAGTCAGAAGGATGCATTTCATTAAAAAGCGAGCCGTAAAACAGTCCCATTTCCAGGCTGTCAAAAGGCCCGCGCGGTTTGTTTTGTTTTCTTAACAACAAAACGATCGTGATGCTGGTGTCAAATCAAAACGGAGGGAAAACAAAACCTGTTCCTCCGACGACTCGAATCTCCCATAACAATCTGCCGGGGCTGACAGAGCAATTCTGGAGCTGCCTCCATCCGTCTGCAGGTACAGGAGAGGCGGGCGATGCACGCCTGCCATCACACATTTGTTATCCACTTCATCTGCGCCCGCACGCGTGTGAGGGAGCGTTTCAGCAATTCAGAGCTCAGGGGGGGCATTTTCAGCCCGTGATGACATCCTAAACAAGTGCTTCTGTCTTTAGAGAAACACTGTTGAAATGACAGTTCTTAGTTCATTAAGTGGCTCCAGCTTCCCTCCCCGGGACTGAGGGGATGGGGGGGTTAAAATGGGCATATTTTGCCTGATTGATGGGGATTTTTGGGTGAGATTGGCCCGTCATTACGAAGGCTAATAAGCCCTGCTTCAGAGGAGCATGCAAACGTGGCTTTATTTGTATGTTTATCACCAAACACGACTGAGGATGACATACTTATGAGATTAAGGTGTGCAGGAAGTAGCTTTCGTAATAGTTCTCAGCTCATTTTTAATGTTGTTAGTCCCTGTTATGGGAGTTGTGCTGCCCACATGCGTCCCACACATTCCCCTCCCACTTCCCAAACAGAATAGAGGTGTGTGTGTACAGTATGTGTCCTAGTAAGTTTTTAAGTAATTAAATGCCCACATCTACCCGTCTTTGGATCCATTTAAACTGCCACACTTTCCTAAACGCTGTATTTATTTAGTTTCCGTTTCATTAAAGTGACAAATGTGATAATAACGAGCGGGTGGATGGTGGCGCTACACCTCAGGAACTACCTCTGCTTCCGTGTCAGTTCTGATAATTTTCACATCTGATCTGGGAGCGGTTCCACAGACGGCTGTAACACCTGTGGAAGTCTCCCAGCAGATTTGGGGGGGGCCTCTCACAGCCCGGCTCTAATCGTGCCCCCGACAGTGGCCCTCAGGTTTCACCTCTCCCCCCTCGAGTTTCCACACACCACCACCACCAGCGTCGGGCCTCCACCTCCACCTCCACCTCCACGTGTGTCGCTTCTGGGTTGCCTGATCATAAAACTGAGCTCGTGTTTGGTCTTTCCACTAAAACAAATTCACCTGGTGCGACACAAAATGGTCGGTAAATGATCTAAAATCACCTCGGAGCTCTCCCCGGCGCTGTGGCTCTCCCCCCGGGAGTTCCCCGTGCTGGCGTCTCTGGATCGGGGCGGCTTCCAGGTCCTCTCCTGGGTGGAGCGGTTGTAGTAGTAATGGCGGCCCGTCTGGTCCTTGTAGGTCTCCCAGTCGCCCAGGACGTGCAGCGGGGAGCCGGCGGGCAGCGGGGGCATGCTGCCCCCGGTGATCTTCAGCTCCTGGAGGTTGGTGTAGACCGGGGAGTCGGCGCGGCCGTGGCCGGACGACGACACCGTCTGAGGAGGGACAGAGAGGGAGGACACGGGTCGGCCATCAGCAGCTGCAAACTAGGGGTGGGACGGTTCACAAAATCCAGGGTTCGGTTCGATTCACGGTTTCGTGGTCACGGTTTTCGGTTTGTTTTGGTATATGTTGATTGTTAGGAAAATCTATTATGTCTTGTATAGTCAGGTTAAAACTGAAAGAAAAAAGCAGTCTGACATTTGATACATCATTGTGACAGTCTTAGGTTAAAAGTAGGTGAGATTCTGGCATTGCGAGCGAGGAAACAGTGCTAATTCCAACATGTGCTTCCCTCTAAATGCAAACTGGTCCCATACAGCAGACCTATAAACTGCTGTAGGCGCGTCAGATTTTTATCGGCTATGCTGCTTCGCTTCTTCTTCTTGTTTACTACTGGTGGTTGGCTTTGGGCGCAGTAGCGCCACCTTCTGGTCTGGAGTGTAAACGCTTCCCTCTGAGAAAAAGGAGCAGTGCATGAACTGTACGCAACACACACGAACCGAACCGAGACAGTCCAACCCAACGGTTCGGACGGTTTTCAGAAACCGTCCCATCCCTACTGCAAACCCACTGACCCTCTGGATCCCCCTGATGCCTCATGGCTCGCGCTAAACTCCTGAGAAAACAAAGGAACGACAGTTCAGGAGGAAAACGACGAGCTGCAGTTTAAGCTGACGAAGCAAAATGTTGTCCACACGGGAGCAGATCACTGAATGAGCGGAGGAGAGGGGAAGGAAGTGGCCGCTCTATCACAAAGAGCGGCTGGTCCCGCGTCAGGAGGAAATGGGGAAGTAAAACAGATCTGAGGGACATTTTGACCGGTCTGATCCTTGCAGAAACAACAAATCGAAACAAAACAAAAAAAAGATAAACCAAGCAATTTTTTTTTAGGAAAAGCCTGGAACTGATGTTCAGATTTCTGAGTGTGAATTAAAATAGAAAATCCAGACCCATGAAGGTGCATAACTGTGTGCAGAACCTTCAAAGACAAACTTGGCCGCCCTCTGAAGATTAAAGGGAAAAGGTGTGATTTATGTCTCGGGTCCGGTTTGAATCTTTCTTTGAAAGTGGGGTGTGAGCTTCGTGCCTGGGAGAGTCCGGGAGGAATCCTGATAGGTGAGCTGAGCTGAACCCCGCTGAAAAGAAGCCACCAGCTCTCATCATCAACAGCGGCCCCAGTCTCAATAATTCCCTTTGAGTGGCCTTTTAGACACTTTAGTCCCTTCGGTTTTCCATCGTGTGCAGAAACAAACCCCAATCTAACCTCTAGATCACGACCGTGTTCCAACGGCATCGAGTTTTTGTGTTTAAAATATATTTTAAGCTAAAATGAGCCAGTAAAACATCAGCTTTTCAGGTGGTTTTTCGGCAGTTTTGCCTGAAAAACCCTCCTCTGTCCGCTCTGTTCAGTAAAACCAGACGCAGCCTGTACTGACCCATCATCCTTCAGAACCCGGACCGTCCAGTCCAGTCAATGAGCCGCTCCTCATGATTATTTCACGCCGGCATCACACGCGGCTGCGGAGCGACAAGGTCCGGGGTCATAAATAATGCCGGAGCCCCGAGGCCTCCGGGCGGCCGGCCTGTGATGTTTTTATCGCGCTGGGATCGATGCGGATGAAATATGCAGGAACCAAAACAAACAGCTGGAGGTTCCCCCCAAGAGCCGGACACTCACTGGGCTGGAGGAGGTCCTGATCCCAAAAAAATCACTCACAGACACCCCTCAGACTGCAGATGTTTTCATGGAGACTCAGATTAAAAATGTACAAACGCGCTACCTGTGGTGGAGAGCAACTGGTGAACACGTCGTCCTCGGCCCGGACGGAGACGGAGCGCAGGAGGCTGCGTAAACGCACCAGAGCCATTTGTTATCTGGGCTGTGAGCCGCCGCGCGTCTTCCTGTTAGACGCGGCGCGAACATGTGATCCAGAGCATGGATCTGTCAAAGGGGAAGTGCTGGTGCTTATACGGCAGTTATAAGACCAGCGGGGTGGAAAACCCACTGTAGTCCTGACCGAACTACATCCTGAGCCTCTCTCTGTGTAGGCGTCCACTTTACTACTATCAATATTCAGTATCTGAGGAAGTCTGTGATTTTGTTAAGGGCCCGGGATCAGAAGAATAGGCTGCACAGGGATATCCACGCTCTGATTCTGATCCGAGGTAGTTAAATAATAATAACAACTCATTTTCAAGATAAGACAGAAGACAGTAAAAACCGATGTCTGAAAAAAAATTCCAAGAGCACTTTTTCTTCTTAAACAAATCTCTTTAGAGTTCATGTGGTTTTATATCTTTTCTGGGGACACTCCCACAGAATGATGCAAACTATTACCGGGCTTTTCTGTTTCGGTCTGAGACTCATTCAGAGAACAATCAAAGCTGGATGGCTTTTTTTTTCTGATCACTGCTCATTTAGTCTGAAGATCTGAGTCTGGAAGACCCGGAGATTCCTCCAAATGTCTTTAATTTCAGAATAACACAGGTGACCCCCTCTGTTTGCTTTGGTTTCCCTCCATAGAGGCAGCTTTTTTTTACCAATAAAATCAAATCAAGCAGGCACAGGACAACCCCAGTGAGCGCACGACAACAGGAAGTAGAGCAGCTAGTTTCTGGTTCTAGATTACATGACAATCAACCTAAACCAACTAAATGGGACTAAAGGTAAACAGACAAGAACTGAGCTTGTCCGCTGGACCCAAGCGGTTGGAGAGCAGCTTTTTCAGAAGCTAATGACAATGGGTCAGAGTTGGAGGCATGAACAGAGCATGTGCAGAAGCGGTGTGGCGCCGGAGGGCCCGCGGCGCAGCGGCAGCCAATTAACGGCGCTGATTGCAGCTCGGCATACTCTCACTCCACATCTCAGTCCAGAGGAGTGCTTAATGGGCAGAGAGAGGAGCAGATGGAGGTTCTGTCAGCTCGAAAATGAGGACAATAGTCTTATCAGCGGCGCCTGCAGCGCTGCATGCTAATCAGCCGGTCCGGTGTTCTTCAGCCGGAGATAGAAGGCTCACCAGAACTCAGAGAGGAGAGAGACCCGGCCCAATGCATCAGAGCTAATATTAGAACCGGTTTATTTTATGCTGGTGTGACGCTGGTTGTGCACGGAGCCGACCCGCTTCCCTCAGCCGGGTCGCTCTGAAAGCAGCCCGGTGATGTCACCTGGATCCTTTCAGCCTGGTGGCTCTTTTAGCCGTGTTTGTTCATGTGGTTTCCGTGTTTGTTTTCAGGCCGCTTATTGTCTTGGAGTTAAACACAAAACCAGACTCCAGTGGGAAGGCTGTGGGAAGCAGGAGTGCACTTGCTTTGATTTAAAGTCATCCAGGCAACGTTTTTGAAATGATTTGCCTTTAAAGAGGTCAGTATGGATCCCCATAGCTACCGAAAATATGTCCAAAACATCATCAACCATCAATATATGAGTTTTGATCAATTTGAAGAAAATCTAAATATAGAAAAGAGTGAGAAACAGTAAAGGAGGTTAATCTGTATCCTTTTTAAAAGTCGGCTTTATGCATGCAGGTGTCAGTGAGTCTTATCAAGCTGCTTCCTCAGAAAAAACAAAAACAAATCACATCTGAACGTGAGGCTGCGGAGTCCTTTAGGTGGCAGCCTGACAGCAGAGTTCGCTAAAGTCTTAAAGGGAACCGTGTGATCCAGGAGGGAGGGGCGAGGAGGCGGCGCTCTCCGGCCCTGGCTGTGTTTTCATTAGACACCGGTGAACCTGCTCTGCAGCATGCCGCAGGGAGCTGGGCCACGCACACACACTGACACACAAGTGACACACACACACACACTTACACACAAGTGACACACGCGGGGCGCTTTGATGCAACGCTATCCTACCCGACAGAAACCCTCCGCTCTGCTTCCTGCCCGTCACCTCTTTGCATTGCTCCCTGTTGCACAACGTAAAGGAAACGTTTCTTCATGTTTCCCCCTTTGGCTCCTGAGACGCAGAATTTCAAGCTCCCGTCTCCAAATACCAGCACAGACTGCCTCTTTGGGTATTTGATGTTAATAATCACACGAGGTTGATGTTAATAATCACACGAGGAGGCAGCACTTATAATCTATGGCCCACAAGAGGTATTTAGCTAATATTTCCAACAGTGAAGCATCCAGAGACACAGCTGTATCAAAATGTGGGGCAGAAAGCTTCAGACAGCTTAAAACTGTAGTTAACCTCCAGTGAACTCATCTTTTGGGTCAAAGGAAAAATAAATGTCTATTTATGTCCAAATGACCTAATTACAAATATTATAATTACATAATAAGACATGATTGGCTGAAAATGTGTAAAACCATTTTAATTTAGATTTCAAACATTTGTATCCTGGTATGGAGGGGCTAAAATCCATGCTGGGTCTCAGGAGGCGAATGCCATTTACAGGACACATTTAGAAACAGAATGAATGTTTTGTTTCTGTCGGCTCCGGCTCGGGTTACGTCAACAAAAGATCAGTGAAACCAGAGTGGAAGTGTCACGGCACCTGATCGAAACAGGAAGTTTTGCCAGAGATTAGGAGAGGTATGAAAATGAACCAGGCTGTCTCTCCTGATAACAGAAGGCACACTCAGTGCGAGGCATGCAAGCCGAAGCAAACAAAAACAATCTGTTAGTCAGCTTCTCTGTTCTCTGCGTCAGTGTGACAGGGCCAATGGACACAGAAAAAAGCGGATCTTAAAGGGAAACATGGATTTAAAAAAAAAAAAAGTCTCAATATTTATGCTGGGAAAAATCCTCAAGAGACACTAAGAGGTTGGGGGTTTGGGATCTAGTCTTGGTAAGAGAAGGAAACCACCTCAGGTCGACCAGAAAAGGAAAAAGAAAGGTTTTGAAACACGGCCACCACCCGAGCTGCTTATGTAACGCTGCTGAAATAACACTCCACAGGAGGACAGAGGATGAGAAAAGAAGTGTGTGAAGCCCGCGGGGGGGTCCGGCCCCAGCAGCCCACATGTGGCCGCACGCACAATCAGACAAGAAAACATGTGGAGGCTGAGAGGAAATAGGGGCAAAAGATCCCCAGTGGTCCATTCTCCCTTCTGGTTCGGCCCTTTAACAGCAGGCCTGATGGCCACTTCCATTCTGACCGCTGATAACCAGGACACGCACCAGCTTTCAGGGTGAAACACCAGGCCTGCCGTCTATCACACAAATTAGTAAGAACAGACACAGATCCAGAGAAGCTGATGGAAAAACAAATCCAAAAAAAGAAGCAGATCCGAGCGGGTCTCGAATGCGAGTGGAGGGGGGGGTGGAAATGGGTCACATAGAGAGAGGCCTGGAGGGAGCAAGCTCCTGCTGAGGACCTGGTTCTACTTTAAGAACATTTACAGCCTTCATTTAAAAAATAGAAAGACCTGAAATGGCAAGAATAAGCAGGCATGCCTTCAGAACTGTGTGCTGGCATCTAAGTTAATCAGAGAAATTAAATTAAAGACAAAGAAATTGTACCTTATTGGGCTTCAAAATGCTAAAGCTACAGATGCAGAGGCATTCTTGCTGAATTTAGGTTATTTTTATGTGTAATGCATTACTTCTATCAGCTTAAAGTTACTTTAGTTATTTTTACAGTGAAGGCTAAGCTGAAGACCAAATCAATAGGATTTGATGGTTCATTATAAGGCCGACATCCACTTTGATTTTAGAGCAGTAAGTCCCATTTTATGCACCGCCATCATTTGATTTGAAAACTTTCGAAAACTGAAAAATATTCCCATAACTACCAAACTTTCTTCTCAGTCTTTTGAGAGAGCTAGGGCTGCTTGCAGGCTAGAACTGGATGGCCTAACTAATCCGGACCCTGAATCCCAGCAGCTGGACGGCATAGCTGAGTAAAAAATGCTGAAATGAAAAACGGGGCCCAGAGGAAGCTCCAATCTTTGGAGTTTGCAAACTGAAAGTCTCCAGATGTTGCCTGGATGCTGCTTTTTGCTCAGGGCAGAAAATCTGGGTATGCAGGCTGGACTCAGCCGGCTTCCCTGGGTTACTCACACCAGATGTCTAGTCGACGCGTAGCCTCCACATTTCTGCGCTCTTAGAGGTGACTCGGCATTAAACCGACGTTTATGCTTCAGCACTTTCATTTTCCCAAACCGCGGACGGCTAACTGAAACCCAGACAGAGCGGCCCGGACTGGATGATTAATCCTCTAATTCCATCTACCTGGCTGCTAATTCTCAGCGGGCTGAAGGGGTCCGCTGAGGAGAGCTGGCACATATCGGTGTTTACGGGAAATGCAGACCTATAAAAGTGCTAAGGCACTTATGTAAGGGGGCGGTGAGGTCGCTGGTCGGGACACATAATGAAATGGGAGGCGGCTTACAAAAATAGGCGCTCCACATTGGGGGGGGTTTGATGGAGTTATCTAATCCAGGACACCTGGAGAATAAATGTTTCACGAGATTCTTTTCTCTCACCTGGGATGGGAAATCTGACCAACATTTCTGGCACAGAAAGAAACATAGAAACCATCCAAAACGGAGAGATAAAGCTTTAAATCGGCCTAACGGAGGTTTGCTGTGGCATCGCACACCATCTAAATCCCCACAGGTGGGAGCCTGCAGCGTCACGCCTGCTTTCTCAGTCAAAGCAAACACGGCCGATGAGGAGAGAGATGCAGAAACACGCCGCTTCTCCACGTCTGTGCGTTTAATGCCAGGAAAAAGATCCTCCTGCTGGAATACAGACCACTATCACTGACCCTGTGTGGACTGAGCTAATGCTCTGCTAGCTTAAATGCTACACATCTCAGAATATGCCCCATTTTATTTTTTAAAAAGTTTAAAAAGCAGCCTACTATAGCCCAGGAATAAGGGTTTCTGGGACCATCATAACCATGTAAGTGTAGCATGTAAA